CAAACCACATTTTATGGTCAAGTTTTCTCCTCTGACCTTTGGCCCCCACCTGTGTCATCTGCTTCATTCATTCCCACCTACCTGGGTGTGTGGCTACTGTCTCCTTTCTCTTCACATCCCAGGGCTCTTTCCTTTGCTTTAAAGGAGACCAGGTGTGGCTTAGATATGGCAAGACCTGCTTGTTAGAAAAAAGGAACATGACTTTTGCTGTGGATTCCCCAATTTCTAACCCAGCACTATCTATGCTCAGTAGAAAAGCAAGCACATTATAGAAGGTCATAGAAAATTATTTCTCCAAACACTGTTTGCTGATGGCTTCTTTAGAATACTTAAGAAGTATTTTCAATTTGCGCATTCTAAGTCCACTTCCAAGAACTACTGAATCAGAAATAAGGTGTGTAAATTGGAATTTAACATGTGGGCAATAATATTTTATGCCACTGGATTTCTCTGATTATCCGTAATCTAAAGTGAAGGATACAGATCACTTCACAAAAGAGAAAGATTAAGGTCAAGATGAAACATCATGAAGATTTTCTCCTTTACACCAACAAACCCTTGAACCCTAAATTTAGCCATGCAAAGCAGAAGTTCCCAGGAGACATTTTATAAATGCAACTAAACCCTGAGAATGGATGAGGAATTCTGGAGGCAAGTTATCCTCCAGGGAGACCAGGTTCCTGTAGTTACCCAACAGCATGTCCCTGTACAATTCCTGCTGAGCATGGTCCAGCATCTCCATTCCTCCTGAGAGAAGGCGATGGCTATATCCCTGAGTGTCAGCAGTCCCTGAAAGACAAAGTACAGTTATCAAGTGCCAGATTTCATAATTCGACCCAACATGAAAAAAGGGTTATAAAGAGCTGGTTCTGATTTAGGGGTTGGACCTGAATTATCCAATCAAATAACTGTAACACAGTATTATTTTCCACCGTACTTTCTAACCCTAAGGAAACAATATGACATAAGATCCACAAAAACAGGGGCACCTGGGTGGCTCAGTCGTTAAGCGTCTGCCTTCGGCTCAGGTCATGGTCCCAGGGTCCTGGGATCAAGCTCCGCATCGGGCTCCCTGCTCAGCAGGAAGCCTGCTTCTCCCTCTCCCACTCCCCCTGCTTGTGTTCCCTCTCTCGCTGTGTCTCTCTCTGTCAAATAAATAAATAAAATCTTTAAAAAAAAATCCACAAAAACAGGGGTGCCTGCTGGCTCAGCATGTGTGCCCTCTCTCTCTCTCTCTCGACAAATTAATAAATAAAATCTTCCAAAGAAATACTGTAGATACTATATGAAACATAAAATATAAAATTAAGGTATCAACACAGGCATATATATAAGTTGTCATAAGTTGTATATATATCTCATATGGGAGACTCACAGTGAGTATAAAGGGTATTTCTCAAATCTTAATGTGTACAACAGACTGGAGAGCTTGTTAACCTGCCGATTCTGATTCAGAAGTTCTGGGGTGGGACCTGAGTTTCTGAATCTCTAACAGGCTCAGCCCTTGTGCTAATACCTGAAATCCAAGGGCCACTTTCTTTAACAACAAAGAGTCATTCATGAATGACTTTGAAGTGAGAGTCTCATGGCAATTATGGGTTCTTACAGAATAGTAAGAATGGCAAGAGCCATCGTTTTAACATGTCCTATATACGAGACATTATTCTATCAGTTTTCATAACTCATAAAACCACAAAAAATAATCTGACTACAATATTATTCTTCTTTTAAAATAATATTTGTCTGGGGGGGGTACCTGGGTGGCTCAATCATTAAGCGGCTGCCTTCAGCTCAGGTCATGGTCCCAGGGTCCTGGGATCAAGCCCCGCATGGGGCTCCCTGCTCCGTGGGGAGTCTGTTTCTCCCTCTCCCCCCACCACTTGTATTCCCTCTCTCGCTGTCTCTCTCTCTCTCTCTGTCAAATAAATAAATAAAATTAAAAATATATATATATTTGTCCAGGGACACCTGGGTGGCTCAGTCGGTTAGGCGTCTGCCTTCGGCTCAGGTAATGATCCCAGGGTCCTGGGATCGAGTCCCACATCAGGCTCCCTGCTCAGCCGGGAGCCTGTTTCTCCCTCTCCGTCTGTCTGCTGCTCCCCCTGCTTGTGCGCGCTCTCTCTCTCTCTCTCTCTGACAAATAAATAAAACCTTAAAAAAAATGTTAAAAAAAAAAAGAAGAAGAATGTCTGTCCAATATCCAGTAAATGGTAGAGCTGGGATTTTACCTAGTTTATCTGACCTAGAATTTATCTAAAAGGAAGAGACATACAAGGCCAATATACAAAGACAATCCTAAAAGAATAACTATAACAGATTTTGTAACTGAGTCATGGAAATACTAAGGTACCAACACAGATTTGATCTAATAACTTCTACATTTTATGCATACATCATATATTTTTAAAATAACCAGATATTAAATTAATTATATTAATTATATCAAATGTGATATAATAGAAAAATTTATTAAGAAATACTTTCAATTGCATAAACAAATCTATTTGTAGATGAAGATTTTGTGTCTTTTTAAAAACACTACGGAGGGATCTGACAAGATGGTCAGGCTGCCCTGCAAGATTATCAAGGTAACCCGGCGTCTGCTGGCAGAACCAGTTCCTGGCATTAAAGAAGAACCGGATGAGAGCAACGCCCATTATTTTCATGTGGTCATTGCTGGCCCCCAGGATTCCCCCTTTGAGGGAGGGACTTTTAAGCTTAAACTATTCCTACCAGAAGAATACCTGATGGCAGCCCCTAAAGTATGTTTCATAACCAAAATTTATCATCCTAATGTAGACAAGTTGGGAAGAATATGTTTAGATATTTTGAAAGGTAAGTGGTCCCCAGCACTGCAGATCCGCACAGTTCTGTTATCAATCCTGTCTTTGTTAAGTGCTCCCAATCCAAATGATCCATTAGCAATGATGTAGTGGAGCAGTGGAAGACCAACGAAGCACAAGCCATAGAAACAGCTAGAGCATGGACTAGGCTACATGCCATGAATAATAATTTACAATCGATCTGGAGCGCCTGGGTGGCTCAGTTGGTTGAGCAACTGCCTTCAGCTCAGGTCATGATCCTGGAGTCCCGGGATCGAGTCCCACATCGGGCTCCCTGCTCAGCGGGGAGTCAGCTTCTCCCTGAATTTGAATTTGTTAAGAGAGTAGAACTTAATGTTCTCCCCACACATAGCTGTCTTTCCTGAGCCTACCCAATAGAAACGAACTCCCAGATAAGATACTTCTGGGGCACCTGGCTGGCTCAGTCTGAAGAGTATGTGACTCTGGATCTCAGGGTTGTGAGTTTGAGCCCCATGTTGGGTGTAGAGATTACTTGGAAGGAAGGAAGGGAGAGAGAGAGGCGGGAGAGAGAGAGGAAAGAAAAGAAAAGGAAAGGAAAGGAAAGGAAAGGAAAGGAAAGGAAAGGAAAGGA